CAGAATGAACGACAACAATCGCCGGGTCGGATCTCATTTCGTTGACTTACCTACAGTAGACATGCTCCAGCCTAACCCCACCCCAACCTTCACCCCTAACCCTGACACCTAACCACAGCCCCTAACCCTAACCTCTAACAGGCACGGCTACGAAGTAGGATCTTGCCCATCTCCGAGATACTTTGACACTTTGCAGTGAATCATTTTATTTTAGTGAATAGATTTGAGAATAAAGTTTTCGACAGAGGACTGAAAGAAGTCAGCATGCAACTTGTGTGGCAGCTGCCAGCTAGCCTTCTGCTCCGCTTCGGACCTGGCGGGCCAGAGGGTTGAACAGCAGCCCGAACAGGCGAGGAGAGCCGATTCAGTTGATTGGCTGTTGGCATCCTGGTGTTGTCCTGCCTCAGAGAGCCGTGATGCAATATGCAGTAGGGGCATCCGGAGGAGACGCTGCGGCAGGCAGCGGAGATCGGCAGGACCCATACGTCGGATCTCTCTCGTCTCAACGTAGGCAGGCCAACTATCCCGCATGTAGGCTCTACCATAGACAGCCTGCAACGGAAGACGACGGCTGTCTGGCCAGGCGTCTACCGAACCGGAGGAGGCGCCCATAATGTGACCACCATTCCCCGACCCCTCCTCCGAGGCAATTTCTTCCTCCAGGTCCCAGACCACCAGGCCATCAATCGAGTCTGAATGCATGGATTAGGCTTACTTCGTATATCGGCGTACAATAAGCCGGTGGCAAATGGAAAAGACTTGGCAGTAGCAAGCTGATCACACACACACAGACACACACGAAATTCTGAGAGCATTTCACAGCATTCCGCTCTCATGTTCGGGTAAAATTAATTGCCCAGGAGGGCATTCAGTAGGCAGGGGAAATCCCCTAAAATTTGGAAATTTGTGAAGGTACTTGGAATACTGGCCGATTAGGTAAAACCCGAGGGACTGGCGTTGACACTGGAGCATTACTAACTAAAATAAATCTGGCGCACTTGAATCTATCATGATGAACTAGGAGTGCTAGCTTGACGGAGTACCTCGGTTCTTCCCAGAACGGAAGGTCAGGCTGCAAGGGCTGCTTCGTGATGTGTCCTTTCAGGTATTCCCAGCAGTCTGAGGTAAATTTGACCTCGTTTCGTTTCATTCACTGCGCCGTGTGCGTGTGTGTAAGGAGTACAGGTCATCAAATCACGACGCCAGGCAACGGACCATTTGACATACTGTCACTGTCAGCGTCCACAATATGCGCATTCTAGAACAACAAATAAGCAGATGCGCCAGCAGCAGAATGAGCCACTCAAAATGTGACTGACCGTCAAAATTTAACTCCGATGCTGCCCGGATGGCCGACTGGGCGCCCTCTGACCAGCCCACGCAGGAGAAGGGCAGATGACCCAGTTGATGCATCAAATTCACGCCAACTCGTGCATCCTGCAGCAGGATCCCCGGATCACTCCAATCGCGTGCGGGGGGAGTGCTGAAACCGCAGCCCGGCGGATCAAAGCCAATCGCGGTAAACCTAAAGGGGGGGGGAGGGCGGACAGAGGCGGACAGTAGTGCTTTGTGAGTAGGCATTTCTGCGTGTATAGTTTAGACGAATGGGCAAACGGCACTAACGGGTTGTCCTGTAGTAACCATCTATAGGCTAAGTCCGTGGAGTAGGATATTTGCAGAAGCATAGCGGGCAGACAACATGCTAATACTCCGACATTCAATACTCTCCCTCGTGTCCACCACGAAGGCCAAATGGATGCATTTTGCTCACGTGAACTTCAAACACATCCTCCTTCGGGAGTGACCTTCAGTGGCGCTATTGATTCGCTCTCACAGTGCTTGGTTTGCCGGCGCCGGTGCTGACAAGGTCAACATTTAACAGTCACGCCTCCAAGTAGTTGGCGCGAAATTCGATCACCCACTCGGCACAAGATCGCTACGCTAACGAAAGCGGATTTGCGCCTTCGAGAGGTGGAGTGATTGTTCATCACAGACAGTACGACTACTCTACACATATGTGTGTGTGTATGATGAAGACAAGATGTTTTACGGGGAAAATAGTGTAAACTATGTGACCCAAGTGATGCAAGGTGCCGAAATTTACGAAAGACTGCTAATTATTCGCAAACCGACACCAATGCGTAGACCCCATGTCTATATTAATCAAAGATAATGGTAGATTGCTTAGACATATGGATTTTTTAGAAAAGCGGCAAATTCCGAAAAAGTGAAAGATGGTTGCAATCGTGTAAAATCCAGTTTTAGATGTACCGAATGGCTGCCCATACAAGAAACGAGTAAATTAAACAGCACAAGAAGAATAACGTTTGAAAATAGTGTTTTAGCGAATTTTACATTTACATATCCTTTAAGAATTAGTGTAATGTCGGGTATGGCGGGTTGCCAACAGCCGACATTCTGAGTATAGATTCCGAAAGGGTTTCCCGAGAATTCGTTGTTTTTTAAACACTTTTCCATTTACTCAGACGCTGTCCAGAAAGACAAAAAGAATTTTGCTTGATTTCGCCAACGGGGATGCCATAGGAATAAAAGTTTTCATAAGAGCACATGCTGCCATGGCTTTTCTTCCGTAAAACTAATTCGGACGTCATTTTTGTTCTAGATTACGCTGAATTTCAGATAGGCTTTGAGACATTGTTGCATACCTTGAGATTTTCAGTGTTTTCGATGGATTGCATTATAAAGACGGACTCTGTATTATGTGTTTACTGAAACCTTTGAAATAAAATACTTATTGAAAGCATTTACCGAAGTAGTGAGTGTTTAGGCGTTTTTCCAATGAAACCTCGTCGTTCATGAAAATGAGCGTTCACAACAAAGTTAACAAAGAACATGCTTTCGATCACTTATGACACTTTCTCTACTAAGTTACCCTTTTGGGTAGTAACTTAATAATGCATTCCGTTCACAGACGTTAGTGCATTTTAATTATATGCACGGTGAGACCAAAAAAATTGGCACATTTGGCCATTTATTTCAGGGTGCTAAAAAGAATGTTAATGTTTATCTACCTCAAACGTAAGAACATGTCATTCGCCTGATAATACGGTCACTTCTGTTACCATTGTTCACATTCAGGCTCCGTTCTACGATTATGAATGCACGACAGAGTATCCATACATATACGGACAAGTTGCTGATGTTTTTCTCGTTCCATTTCTAAATTACGCATGTGCAGAAACTAGACCGTGCGAAAAGCAATGTTTCATATGTTCCAAACTGAACATGACTATTCGGTGATAGTCATTTTGGTGTCAAAACACAGAGTTCACTAAATTACAAAACATGTCAGCCCTTTTAATCAAGGAATTCCCCCTATGCATCATTAATGCACTTTAGGGGCCGAAAACGCACAGACCTGCTAATCTGACCTTTGAAAATCGATAAAAGGTTTGGCTCTCTAAAAATAACCCGTGTGACAGCAAACTGATTCCCATAGCTAGAATCGGACAAAAAATCACTTTTCAAGTGTGACAACCTCTCTCTAGTAAAATTCTCGAGGGTAAATTAATTCCTTTTCAAAGAAAAGACGTTGTCTGCAAGATCCCATGTGCCAGTTGTGATGCCGTCTATTAAGGCCAAACTGGGAAATCTGTCTAAACCCCTATAGATGAACGTCAGCGGTGATGAGGAGACGGTGCCGTCTAGCCCATGGGAGAGCACTCGTACAGTACGTGGCCTATCTCATGAAATCTGATAACGGAAACTGATGAGAGAATTTTTGGACGCCTTCAACGTTGAGCATTTTGTTCGATCATCCACATCCTTCAATGAAATGTCCCTTTCTCGTGCAGAAATTGTGTTTACGTAATTATATCAAATAAAATATCAGTAAAGTTTAGCGAAAATGGACGTTGGAATGTATGCGTGCAATTTCCTATGCTAATACGTGTCCTAGACACCGGTTACGCATCTGAGCGACTTTTTCATTGAAGGGATAGTAACCTACCCGGAGAGTTTTAATAAACAGATTTAGACGAACTTGAAAATTTATTTTATATCCGATGTTAACCGATGATGATCAACCTGTTAACTCAAAAGTTATTTAAAGAAAACCAGAAGTTTTATCAATTCCTAAATGTCAAATTAGCAGATCTGTGCGATTGGGTGCCCTAAAGTACAGTAATAACGCAGATAGGGATTCCTTCGTTTAAATGGGCTGAAATTGTTTTGCCGTTTGGGAAATTCTTCCTGATGTCACATAAATGACCACCGCCGAATGGTCATTTCCAGTTTTGAACATATTAAACACTACTTGTCGTGTTGTTCGGCTTCTGTGCATACTTTATTCAGAAATAGAACGAGCAAAACATTAATAGTTTCATCAGTATTTATATGGGCGCTCTGCCGTGCATTCATAATCGAAGCACTTAGACGAAAAGCGAGCAAAAACAGTGGAAATGGCCTCAATGTATAGAGAAAGGCATGTTCTTACGTCTACGGTAGAAAAATATTAGTATTTCTTAGGAACGCAAAAGAAACGGCCAAAAGTGTCAAATTTTTACTTGGCCTCACTGTGCAAAAATGCAAAGTACACAGAGATCCGTCAACGGAGTGCAGTAATAAAGCGCTTCTTAAAGAGGTAACTTATTAAGGAAAGTTTTCTTAATGATGCTGACTTTCGTTGTCGACAGACATTTGTCTCGAAAATGGAGTTTGATGTTTGAATGAGTATGCACATGTTACCCAAACGACCTTATTCGTGAAAAGGAGCGCCCGAACACTCACTCATTTGGTAAATGCCCTCAAGAATAATGTTATTTTAAAGTTCTCCACAGACAGGTAATTCCGAATCCGTCTTTATGGATGATCGGGTGAAAACACTGAAAATTATGAAATATTCAGCAATATTTCGAGGCTGATCTGCAACTCAACGTAATGCAAAACGAAGGAAATGTATAAATTAATTTAACGGAAGAAAGTTTTCCCCTTTAAACACAAAATGGTATGGTTACGATCCCGCCTGTCAATTCAAAACGTGACTTCCGAGCACCTCTCCAGACCACACGCATGCATGAATAACATGACTTACATTTTAAGACGTCGTCACAGCATCCTGCATTGTAGACACCATAATGGTTGTTGTG